CATTGTCAAAAAAATCATATGTTTAACACATGCTAGTAAGTTTGTATATTATGATTGTTAATTAAAGATGAAGAATATTGATATTAAAAGTTAGAAACTTACTCAATTTAAGGTTTAACATTTTGATAATTCAATAATATTTATTAATGGGCTACTTTGTACTCTTTTTCTATCAACCTTCATGTTATGGCTCGACCAATTCGTCGACCTTGCTATTTGAATATGAAAACATCCCTTCAATGTAATCACTTAATTCTCCATTACACTCAATTTTACGTGGTACTTTTCAATACCTAGGATTCACATAAGGCTCGAAATAGTACGAATAGAACGAAGAGGCTTTCTTTGACTAAATATGCATTGTATATTGACCTTTCTACTTTTGATATATTCTTTACATTGCTTTTAAGCTTTTAAAGATACCTAGTACATTAAGTTGGTTAGTGATTGATAATTGTAAAATTATTTATTTTAATACTACAAATCAATATCATTACCTTCCAAACGGATATATCTATCGATATTGTATTAGTCAAGTAATCCTTACCTCATATGGTTGGTGTTAGATTAGGTACCCTAGATCCAACTTATTTAGATGATTTGATGTATTGTATTATTACATTTTAATATTAATAAAGAAGTTTTTCTATTAATTTTTTTATATTAACGAGAATGAAATTGTTAACATGTAGCTAATCCACTAAATACAAAATATTTTGTTCAAGAAACATAATGCTTTTAGTGTTATTAATATCGGCCACCATACACTTCATGTTAACTTCATATTTTACACGTCCGTTCAGCAAGAGAAGCATCACATACATTTGAAATTGGTTATGTTATTAATAAAAGAATGAGGATAAAACACTTAAATAGACTTTAATTAATTTTGCTCGACTGAAATTGAAACTTGAAAACACGAAAAGGACATTCTATTTTATTAAACTTTCATGGATAATTCTAGTTCAAATAGAAGCGAGTATATAAAACAATTACAAATTGATCTCTAAACATGAATGAACTGCCATACCTCTAAACATAACTATCCATCTAATGGATAAGAGAGATATACAAGATCATAGATAAATCAAGAGGTAAATTAACAAAGACGAGGAGCTATTGTTCCTCTTACCTTGAATAGAGATGAAAAACAAAATAAGTTATGGTTGGTAAATGGTGTTTGCTCGCCTAGTGGGAGGAGGATGGTGGCTTGTATGGTGCCTTCTTGACGGAGAGTTTTACCCGAGAAGAAGAATGAAACCGTGATAGATGGTGCCATGTGGGACTATCGTTTGTGGGAGAACTACGAAGTAGAATGGATTCAACAATTAACAAAAAAGAAGAGAGCCTAATGGTGGCTGCTTTGAAGAGATGGACAAAAATGAAAGGGAAGCTAGATCCGAATCTCTTTATGTTCATGAATGAGGAGCTTATTTTATGAAACCTAGCACGAGTGTCGGAGACTAGAGAGACGATAACAAAGGGCACAAAGTCATGTCATAGGCTTCGGAATTGGGAATATTGGAAGGGTAGCTACATGAAAGCTAGTGGCCGGTAGAACTTGAGAGGGTGGTTGCACGAGAGCGAGGGTAGCTATATTTGGGTCCGGCTAATTGGGGTTAGGGAAATTAGGTTAGGTTCTTGATTTTGAGTCTCTCCCTTTTTTGTTTTAAATTGTGTTATATACAATTATACATTACAATAACTTATATTTTTAGATATTAAAAAATAAAAAATAAAAAATAAAACTAACTTTAATTTTTTGTGTAAACTATTTGAAAATTTTAAAAATTGAACGAGACACCGAAAATAGAAATAATTTCGATTAGCTTTTTTTTTTTTGTATTTAAAAACCAAACTAAAATTGCTACTCCAATTCGAGTTTGGTTCGATTTTTTGATTTCTACTGAATTTTGCTCACTCCTAATTATGATGAGAACTTCTTTCCTTCCTTTTATGAATCCTATAATGACTAAAATTCATTGTATTTGAATAGTAGAATTATGAGAATGATGAGAAGGGATAAGTTTTTAGATGAGAATAAAGGAGAATTTATCTAGCTAATTAATTACTTTGTGTAATTCAATGATCAATAATATTCCAAAAAGGATCGAACCAAAAAAAAAAAACAATAATTTAATACTTGCTTATTGTAGTACACTAGCCAATAATGTTGGTCCAATTTTTGTTACTATATTCAATGAGAGTTCAAACCGGCAATTTTGATCAATTTTCTAACGTGTCATCATCCTCTTTCTAAACATTGGAGAGAGGTAATATAAACATCAATATTGCATTAATCATTCAAAAAATTGAGTTGAATATATCATTAATCATCAATAATGTTATTAAAAGCATATTTAAGAACTTCATCACAAATGTAAGGGCATGCATTATTATATGAACTAACAAAAGGTGTCCTAAGCAAATCCCAAGCAACTCAAATCCTTCTCTATAAATAAATAATCCATTAGCTTTATTTCAATGCACTTGAACAACCTAAATTTGTTTATTTTAAGAGAGAGTAAGAGAGAGAGCTAAAGTTCAAAGAAGAGAGATCATGAGGCCTACAAAATATTCTACACCAACGAGTCCATGTATGGCATACCGTAATGCCTTACCTATTTGGAAGCTTAGGTTTAATGCTTACAAGTGTTATGGTGGCATTGACCTTTTGAGCATGTTCTTACTACGGGAAAGGCTCAACAATTTCACAAAGTAACCAGCAAGAAAAACAAGCAATGCTTATCAATTTGCTAGTGCTTGATGGAGAGCTAAGGATTGTGGTTATAATGCCTAGAGATAACAAAACCAACATATCTAGTAACACTAGTAGCCACTTCTTCAACTAGCTAATTATGTGATGATTAGCATAGATTTTCTTCCCTCATTATTAAGAAATGCCATCCCATTATAACAAAGAATTAATTAATGATGTTGTTGTAGTAGTCTTTACACAATAGTGTTCTAAGCAAACAAAGTTTTGATCTCTTATATATATATATATATATATATATATATATATGGTTTTTCCACATTGGTTTTGGTTTTACCATTCACGAAATATGTATATTAAATGATGAGTATCAATGAACGTTTCTATTCTTTTTGTTTATGAAAAATCGAGTGTTTCGCCTAACTCACACAAAGGAACTTAAGAGAAAGAAATTTGTTTTGCTCTTAGCCTTAATTTGTTAAAACTTTAAGGTGTTGTTTGGTAATCAAGAATAAAGTGGTTGGAATGGGGATAAAAGTTTTATTCTCACATTGTAATTGTTAGGTTAAAAGGAATGAAGTGAAAATGGGAATGAAGAGTGAAAATCATAATGAAAATTTACACATAACTTTATTCCCATATAAGATGTGAGAATAAAAACAAATAATGGAAATGAATTTTTTTTCAAAATAATAATATATTTTATTTATTTATTATATATTAATTACTTTCATCATTACCACCACAACCACCACCACCATCACAACCACCACACCACCCACCATCACCAACCACAACCACTACCACCATCATCACCACCACAACTACCATCATTGTAAACACAACTACTACCATCATCATCACAACCACTACCACTACCACTACCACTAGAACCACCATTGTCATAACCACAATCACCATCATCATTTTTATTATTTTTATAAACATTATAGTTTAATAAAATTATTTTTTTAATTATTATTTTTATTTATATAAAAAATCAGATATTAAAAAAATTTAAATTGCATTCCAACTCCTCATTAGTATTCCAAACACAACATGAAAATATAAATACCATTTCGATTCCTTAATTTTCATTCCGATTTTTGTATTTCCACACCTATCACTCTATTTCGATTATCAAACAAGCACTTAAAATATATTCTCTCTTACATTGTCCCTTTTGATTTATATTTGTTCAAAAATGCATGTTTTATCAAAATTTTAAATAGTATACTTTTCTAAAATATCTTTAATTGAAAAAAAAAACATTTTTTTTTCATTTTTTGTTCTTCACTAAAAAAAAATATTCTTTGTACTTTTTCTTTATCAATACAAAATACTTTTAACATAAAAATTTCAAAAAAAAAAAAAGTTTTTGTTACATGAAAAATATTTATTCTTATAGAGATTTTACTGCATTTTAAAATTTTGAGAGTAGATTATTTTTTTATTTTTTATAATTATTTTAAACTTGATTATTAATTATTTTAATATTTTTTATTTACCGCCTTATTTTAGATAATTTTTCTCTTTACATTAATTTTGATTCTATGTAATGAAAGATTAAATTTGATAATTAGTAATTTTAACCAAAAAAATTTTAAAAAATATATACACAAAAATATATTGATATAACATAATAATTAATAATATTTTTAAACTGTGTGTAAAGTAAATGGAAGAATCTCTTCGGACAAAGAGAGTACCTCAATCTCTTATAACATGTTTTTTTTAAAAAAGAATTGGGTATCAGATTTTACTAATATACTCCTCTATAAAAATTGAATTCACATATTCTTTTGTTCAATTACGTTTAATTTTAAGATATAATATAGTGAATATAACCAAAAAAAAAGTATGAATTGACACTGTATTTAGTGTGTTTTCATAATATGGGTAAAAAATTTAATATCTCTCTCTTTATGAGACAGTAGAAGGACTAACAGTTAATCACAAAGCCTCTAGACATCAGGGAGCATGAAACAACTGCTAATCATTTCCAAAAAGTTAATCTGTTATCACTGACCATTAATGTTTGGCATCTACTGAAAGCATAAGGAATCTTCTTCTCAAATGCAAATGCAATATTATATTAAACTAATTAATTAAGGGGTCCAAATGCAAATGCAATATTCTAGTAACCAAGCAAAATAAATTTCCCTCTATAAATACATGATCCACCTACCTCATATCACTGCAATTGCAAAACCCTCCCTCTCCATATATATTACTAGAAGAGAAAAAGATAGCTGCAGAGGAATCGGGGAAGAGAGAGAGAGAGATGAATCCTTCAAATGATCCTAGATCAACTATCAATATTCTCTGGCACTCTCCAATGCCTTACCTATTTGGCTGCTTAGGCCTAATGCTATTAGCCATTGCCGTGGCATTGATAACTTTAGCTTGTTCTTACTACAGAAAACACTCAGGAAATTCTTCTAGTGATCAAGAAGAAAAGTCAGCTGCGATACCTATAAGCATGCTGGTTCTTGATGCAGAGCCAAAGATTGTTGTCATCATGCCTGGAGAGGACAAGCCAACATATCTAGCAACACCAATCGATTCTTCAAACCTTGATTTGTGACCAGCTAGTTTAGATTTCTTATTTCTTATTTCTTGGCTCAATGTCATCAATGGCCAATATGCCAATATTGTAGCAAACTTAATTTATTTACGTTGTATTAATTATAACTTGGCAAAGTTTTTGTCATGGTTACGATAATGCTTTTTCCTTTTGTTTGATTTCTTGTTTAATTTGTATTAATTAGCATTTGCTGAAATATGTTCACCATAGTAGTTGAGTATCGACGGATTTTTCCATTTTTTTCTAAAAAAATTGAGTACTTTTTTACAATTGTTATATATAATTTTACTTTTTTTTTTTTTTTTTTTTTTGTGTAAATGATTTTTGTATCTTAACATGTTTTTTTCTGGCTCCCTCAATCTCAAATTCCTAACTCCACCCTTGATTATAATGCTATAATTACTATGCAGGCAGAGCCATGGGCCTTGTATACTTCAAGGGCTGTTAATAATGTTGACTTATGGGTGCAAGCTAAAGCTAAAGATGAAATGAGCAGGACGAAGTTTTTAGGAGAAAGAACAAATTCGTTCTTAAACTTTCATGTATGTTCCATTTAGGTACTTCACCAACCGGTTTTTCCACTTGATTTTCCATCTATTCAGACTTTGGTGAATTAATTCGCACCGTAACGTACAAGTAACGATCAATTAAATTGGCATATTGTGACAGGAATAAAATTTGGCTAATCAAGACTTTCATTTTTTTTTTTTTTGTGCTAAAAGTACATCAATGAGATATAGGACTTGATGCATACTATAAAATGTATCTAACCGATATCGGGGGAAAAAAAAAGGTTTTACAAGCATAAGTTTGCGTCAAAAATTTTGTTGAAAGTGTGACCTTACATAACTACTTAACGAATCATTAACTATATAGATCATAACGGGGTTGATTTATCAAAATCTATATAGGTGAAGAACTCAATTGAGACAATCTATAGGTGGAGGACCCAATTGAAACATACACAAAAGTTTGTGGACATATTTGTCCTTTCTCCAAGTTCTCATGTAAGAAAATTTTAGAATAAGCCATCGTTCTTTTAAGAATTAAAAAAAGAAAAAGAAAAAAAAAGCATAACTTCGAATCAACTTTTAACATTCTTGTTTTAAAAAAGAACAGGTATTAATTGTGTAAAACGTAAAGTTTAATATAATAAAATTAATAATGCTAATAATTATATTTATTTTTGTCCAAATCATAAATGAAATTTCTTAATTAATCCCTCAAATAATATTTTTTTAAAAAATCATAAACTCAAACTAATAACTAATTGTGTAACATTTCATAATTAAACTATATATATATATATATATATATATATATATATATATATATATATATATATATATTGTTATAAAATTTTGATACGATGAATTTTATAAAATTTAATATGATTGAAGGATGAATATTTGATTGAATTTTTTTTAATATTTTAAAAATTCAATTCAAATGTATAAAAACAAAATCATATATCATTAGTTATGGTACCTAATAGATGGAAAAGAAAATTTTGAACTTTGATAAAAGTTCAAGGACAATGGATACAAACGAAATCTCATGAAGAAATTGAAAAACCCCTCAGATCTCATGAAAAAAAAATATTAAAATTTATCCTTCCTTTAATTTTTTTTTTTAAAAAAAACGATCTTATATTTGAAGGAAACTTTGAAATTTAGGAAATTTTGCAGCACAGTCATGATTACTTGAGACTTAAAAAGGGACTTACAGAAAAGATATTGGATTTAATACGTTCTTTCAAGGTATAAATCTGTACAAAAACCATAAAAAGAAAAATAAATTGTATGGAGATATGAAAAAAATTTAATGTGAAATGTCTAGATTCAATGAATCATGAGCACACCAAGTAGAATCTTCCTTGAATGTGAACTAAAATTTGTATGGACTTCATGCATTGAAGTTCTTACAACTTCTTTAAAGTTCACCAAATCTTGTTAAACAATGTTTATATATTGATATTGGCAAAAGAATTTAATAATATCTTTGCATAAATCCCCCTTTTTTTTTCTTTTCTTTTTTTTTTTTTTTTTTGTGTGTTTGGGGGAAAAAATGGTGACCAAAATTCTCCATCAACCCTCCTCTCTAACCTTGTAACCCAATCATGAGACTCTAGAAAAAAGTGAGATAGTGGTAAATTAATAGCACAGGGGCACCTTCTGAAACCATCGAAGGGATATTAGAATAATGAATCACTTTCAAAAGCACTATCAACTCAAACATTCTCAGAATTATACCCTTACCAAAAGAATGATCTCCATGGCCGCAAAGTCATCACAAAGATTTTCTCTTAATTTAGTCAGCCTGGGGAAAAATTTCATTGGATAGCTAGGCATCTAGCTAGGCATGTGTAACCCTTTTATCTTCAGGCACTTTTCATGCCATTAACATACATATTTTTCATCAAAAGTTTTTTCTTTGCCTAGGGTTAGTGGATGCGGCGGCGTGAAAACGCAATAGGGTTAACGATGGTCTGGCTGAAATTGATCGAAAAAAGGTTTGATGTTTGAACTGTGCATAATGGGAGACATTTATATTGTGACAACATTGATCTAATAGTGGCTGCCATACAAAAATTATTTGAAGGTGTGAATATATCCTTGGGATATTCCATGTCGTCTCAACTTTAAAGATTTGCATTGTGACTGGCACAAAACGTTTGGGTCACCTTTTCCGAATGGGTTGAAAGATGTATTGAGAAGTTGGGCACATTGATCATTTGGATGGCATGTAATTGATGGGAAAATTATTTGCTAACATACATATGATCTTCAAAACGGGTTATTTTACTACAGATAATTGATTGATTAGATTTTTTTTACTAATTTAAATGTTAATTGAATCTTTGTAATAAAATTAATTTGTTTGACGTGAGTTTTTATTACTGATTTTATTGATGGTGTTAAGTAAATTATATAATCAATTACACGTATTTTTTAAAGACTTCTTTAATTATTTTTTTACTATAGAAAGCATTTATTAAAATTATTAAAAGAATAAAGAAAACAAATAGTTTAAAATTAATGCGATAAACTTATTTTTATACATAATTTTAATAAATAATTTCTATCCAAAAAGGAAAAAAAACAATTAATGAGGCTTATTAGGTCGAAAAGCTATATGTCTCTTTATTATGTAATTTACTTAACATCATCAACGAAATTAGTAAAACATGACTCACAGTAAACAAATTGATTTATTACAAAGATTTAATTGATATGAAAATCTGATTAATCGAGTAATATAAAAAAGTTAGTATTGTTAATCCTCATCAAACATATACATGTAGATTTAGGTGGAATGTTTAAGGTATAATATCATAAAAGTTAATTCATTTAAAATTTAATTTAAAATTAAGTCTTTACATTTAAAATTTAATTTTAGAAATTTTTAAATTTTATTTTTTAAAATTTAATATATTTTTAATTTTTTTAATTATTTATCTAAAAAAAATAATTGCATAAATAGTTTCATGATGAAAATCATTGAATAAGATTTATATAGAGCTCTTCAAAAAATATAGTATCATTTTGAATTATTTTTTTATTTTTTTATTAATTTTCTATATTTTTAATGTTCAAAAAATAAACAAATATATTTTTTGATTTTGAAAAAAAAATTTGAAAATATGAATTAGATTTTTTCTAATATTTGTCCAAAACTTCAACTCAAAATACCAAAAGTTAGTTTTTCTTAAAAGAAACAATGATAGCTGAAAATTATTGAATGAAATAATTTTCTAAACAAAGTAAAAATTTAAAGATTTTAAAAATTAAATTTAAAATTCAAAGAGTTCTATTTAGCATTGTTTGACGTGTGTAACAGCTTTTTAACCCTTTGAATCAAAGCCAACAATTTATTATTATTATTTTTTTTTGTAAGAAGTCTAAATCATTTTTTTGACACTAAATTCTTGCTTTTCGGTTCGGATCCTAAGACTCTAAATAGCTACGCATATACGATCATGGTTCCTCAAAACTAGAATTATAACAAGTCATGAGATTCACTCGTGGCTAGGTCAAATTCCAATCAATAATGCAAATCCTGGAAAGGAAAAGTAATATTGTCTATCATCTATAGTGAAAAATATAGATGGGACTAATCAATGTTTTGGTTTGTATTAAACAAGGTCCTTGCATAAAAAATTTTAGACATCAAGATTATGTTTCTATTTAGACTTGTGTATTTATGAGTAATTTATTTCTAATAATGTAGAAAGCAAAGCTACTTATCATCTTAATCAAGGCTTTAGAAGTAGGAATAACCAACGATGAAACCTAAAAAGTCTAGTTTAGGAATAGGAACAAACTCATTTTACTTTCCCATCTACATTATAATTAACTGGCGCTAAAAAAAATAGAACCTACCAACTTCCAAGCACATCAAAATTGGCTAGTCAAATGGTTATTCGATCCGATTTTTGACAATTTTAGTTTGATTTTTGATTAATCAAAACTGAACCAAATTAAAATTTGACATTTGGTTAAGAAACCGAAATTTCGATTTCAATTTTTGGTTAAAACCAATTTTTTTTTCTGATTGGGCTTTTTCCTTTGGCCCTTTATCCATAGGCCTTTTTTTCCTTTTTTTTTTTTTATGCGAGACTTCCTCATCCTATCATTCTTAGCCCTTCCTCCCCTTTCAACCTAGCTAGCCTCCATTTGGAGCAAGCCTAAAATGACAAAATCAATCGTATTGTTTCATCCCCGCAATTTATCCTCTTGTTCAATTTATGCAACAATATTAATTGCTTCATATTGATCAATGGTCATTGCCCATTAAAGAATAAGGTGCAACACTCGCCTTAGTGCCTTATTTAGATGAAAACTCACGAGTCTAGATTCATAATTCATAATTAAAATATATAGGATACTAGAATAGTACATATTGACCTATTGTTTATCTTAAGCATCAAAAATTCATAATTAAAACACAATTCATTAACTCAAATAAAAAAAATATTAAAAGCATCGTCAAAATACATA